TCACTTTTATTATTATTATCATTATTAATGTTTTTGTTGTTGCTATTATTACTATTTTTATTACTATCATTATAATAACTTTTGTTATTATTTTTTTGCTTTCTTCACAACATAAACAACCATCCAATCCTCCTTGCCCATAAAAACTTTTCTTTAATCTCCTCCTTCCTTTGTTAGCTTTCCCCCCACTCCCTTACTTTCTCCTTCCTCCCTTCTTCCCCCTCTCTATCTTCTTCGTTCTTCCTCCCCTCCTTCTACGTTCCTGCTTCACTCTTTCTTCTCTCACCCTACCACCCACCCCTTCGTCCAATATTTTTATTTCTCCTCCTCTCCCTCCTTCTCCTTATCCGACTGCACTCTTTTGTATTCATACCCTTTCTCTTGTACCTCCCCTCTTCCTCACAGCCACCACCACCGGCTTGTTGTTCACCTTTACATCCATCACCTTTGTAGCTCATCACCTTTCATCACATATCTGTATGTGCATCACCAGGTTAGCATCACGGGCCTAGACGTGTTCACCGAGAAAAGATTCCAGATTGTCCACCCGTCTTCGCATAGCTTGGACGTACCAGTGGTCACCCGGACTGACTATCTCGTGAGTTGCTGGATGGATTATCATAGGAGTCCATGGGAACAACGAAAAAAGTCACAAACTGATTTTAGGGTGACGATTTTGAACGCTTGTTGACTCATAACTGTATATCTGTTCAACTTTTGGTTGACTATATATGTGAGGCAGCGTGGTGGAATCAGGTTCTCGTCAATTTTTGGGCATGTAGAGGTATTGGTATCATCTTAAAGCTTGTTCAGTTGTCTATATAAGGATGAAAAAATATCCGTTTATCTTGAATACAAGTCGAGATATTTACGAAAGAAGGAGGTGGGGGTCACCTGTTTTCAGAGGTAAAATTAGTGAGAAAATGGTCGCCAAAGGTTAGTTATTTCCATAGCTTAAGAGTCCGTGGTAACTGAAAATTTACATTTTCTGTGCCTTTAATCAACATTTTTCAGAAAAAATCCACATAGAAATGAGTTCTTTAATGGGCATGGAAGGTGTTGAGCCAAAAAACAAAAATTTAATAAAAATTCACAAACCTGCGGGAAAATGCAAGTTTATTCATTTTGATTATTTTGACGAGAGCCTGATTCCACACACACTTGTTAGATTTCACATTGAACAAACATAACAATAAACCACCAGTCAAACAAATGGGAAGTTAGGAGTCCAAAAGCTTTTAAAATGGACAACCTGACAATTTCCAGTTTTTGACTACGCCCGTTTTTCCAGTGGACTCCTCAATTGTAAATCTTAATGCTTACCGTTGTTACCTCGCGAGTTGGTTGATTGGTTGTACTTGTAGATCTTAATGTTTATCCTTATTTTTTTTAGTGTATGTGTTTTACTCCCTTGATCGATATAATTTCGATCGTTCAGGTGGCGGGTGTCGACCCTGTCTGATAGGATCGACCCAGAGTGAGAGGGACGCAACAACGTCCTGGCGGGAAAGACTGTGGTACATTGTACTCGATAAAAACAAATACTCCCC